CATGATGAGACTCGAGGACAGCCTGGCTGTTTGCTGGGAGCAGAGACTAAACATCCGACCTTATCTGAGGCTCTCTCTCCTTCACCGATTCATTTATCTTTATTTGGTTCTTCGTCTCCTCCTGCTGTTAGCGCCACCGTGGAGTCAGCTGACTGACGGAGAGCAGAGTCGCAGCACAAACCGACGGTCTGACGGCTTGTCTGTCTCTGAAAGCTGCAGCAGTCATGTGACGAGGTGAGAGTGACGGCGATGAATCGAGGCAGACACGAGCGTGATTTAGAGTGGGGGGTAGTGGGCATGCGTTCCCGCCGTGTTTGTGGTAAATGAAACTTTTCCACAGATAATTTAATGTTGATCGGATCTGTGTTAAAATTCAGTTTCTGTAAGTGTCTGACCTTTGACCTTTGATGTTGTCTAAGAGCGTGGACCTGCTCATGTGGACTGAAAAACACATTCATCTCAAAGTTTATTCAAATCTGCCAGATTTATGTCCCCACTACTTTCCAAACCCTGCGATCATCACTGGAGACAGAATAAAAGGAGCCGGGCCTGCAGCTCCGCGGCAGAGAAGTAAAGTCAGGATTATTTTTGTCCGTTAATGAGAATAAACCAGGTAACAGGAAAAAAAAGACTTTTACCTGAACTCATGAGTAAACATGTTGCTGCCAGCACTGAAAAACAAGAAGGAAACCTGAGTGTTAGACTGAGTTCGGTTTGTCTCCAAACTCACACATGAAATGATAACGAATGAAAAAAGGAGAAAGCTGCAGTAAAAGGTCAGCGACCCCGATCATGTTTCTGTTCATGTCAGTGCAGCTCATCACTGCATACAAGAGATTTTATCAACAACAGATGATGTCAGAGCTCTTTACAAGAAACATTTAGATTAAAGATGTTTGTCTCTTGTAAGAATGTTGGAAACATTTGAAGCTTTTTAATAAAATGATTTCTATTCAATGACTTTATTTAACAGCAGAATCGTGTTTCCATCCTGTCAGCTTAAAAGCCGTCCTTCATAAACCATCTTTGATTATTTTCAGGCAGCACATGAACCCTGATCGTCTGATCAATAAACACGTGTATCTACAGATTTGATTATTTGCTCTATGAAAGTAGAATCTGCAGCGAAGCGAGCACTCGTGCATTTCTGCATGAAGCATTATCAGTGTGTGGTACTCACACAGCGCGTTGCTGAGTCCGGAGCAGAGCATCGTGTTCGCAGGTCTGGTTGTCGGTGACGAGCTGAGCTGATGGCGGATCGGACGGAGACCTTGGTGTATTTACGCCGTTTAGCTGAGAACTTTTACCTACGTGCAAAACAAGCAGCCAATGGAAAAATGAGAATCTGATGCTTATCAGGTGCAGCAGAGCCAAGGAGAAAACTAAACTGCTATCAATAAGAAACGATTATAGAAGCCAATCGCAGCTCGCCCAGTGTCAGCCGGGATCGGCTCAAGGCCCCCCCGCGACCCTGACCTGGATCGTGGCTCGAGAAGATGGAGCCACAACACAAAACAGACGTTTATTTCTCAGATGTTGAATCAGTTAAAGAAGGAAAACCTTTTAAAAGCTGCATAAATACACCTCACACTGTGGGACACCCCCCAGCATTCAGATCATCACAGGTGGTTAAAAGGCCTTCGGTCAACAAGCTGTGATCATCACTTTAACCATGACTGTTGTACAGTTTCATTAACCATCAGCGTTTATTCTGAATTATCATGATGTGACGGGAAAGAGACGTCGGTGACCGCTGGCAGCTCGTCCTTCACGCGCAGCTTTGGTCATCATTTCTGAAACACTCGGTTCAGCCGCAGTGTTTCACAGTCTTAACATACTGACACAAACACGAGCGCACGTTCACACGTTCACGTGCAGAAGTGAAGGACACGATAATCGAGCATAAACTAAAACAAGGTTTTCACAGAATCACCCCGACGGGCCGAGTGAGGCCGTTCCACAGCTCAGGAGCTAAAAGTCAAACCGTGGTCGCCTCTGGATTTAAAATAAGAGTGTGGAGCAGGTGAAAGGCCCACATCCAATCAGCAACAAGCGCTTAAATAAAGGCTCCAGCAGCGTTTGGATAAACAGCAGCTGAGGTTAAACACAGCCACTGACCTTCTGCATGAACACTGTGACAGATGGATATCACATCCTGCTGTGACAACACGTATCTGTTTGTCTCGACCGCTATCACTGTGTGTGTGAAAGCAGCAAACCTCTGAATCGGGCTCCTCGGCTCTCTGCAGAGAGGAGCCTGACAAAGTGTTACAGAGAGACACGTTTGCAATTTCATTACATAAAAACAAAATGAATTCATCAGACGGCTGGAATAATGTGTGAGCAGCTCTATGTGCAGAAAAGAGATTCATACGTTTCTCAAATGAAGTCAATAAAACGAGGAAAGAGGCGAGCTGCTGTGTGACGGTGGAAGAAGTGCTGAGCAGGACGATCTACATCAGGGGTGTCAAACATAAGGTCTGGGGGCCAAAATTAGACGGGCGACTACTCCACCCACTGGATGGCTTTGGGAAATGTGATGGACATTTTGCACTTTTGTGTTTCCATAAGTTTATAAGTTTCCCCCGCGGCCCTTCATGCTGCACCAGAGTAATAAAGTCAAAATTACTGAGAGAAAAGTTCCTGTTTTTCCTCTGTAAACTATAGAAATGTCTGCTTCTCACAGCGGCTCAAACAACATTTTCTGTGAACAGAAACGTTAATAATTACAGGACAGTCTGGACAGAGAGCTTCCAGAACTTTCTCTGTAATCACACATTTATTCCTTACAGTTGAAGAGTCGCGCTGACAGACGTCTTTACTGCAGCAGCATTTCTTCATCATGTA